TTATGTCTCGTGCGGCATGGTAATTAAAGTCCCATCAACGACACAGCTCTCAAAGAGGCTATATAGTGACAATGCCATGCAAATGTAAATATAAATACATTGTACAAAGAAATAGAAAAAGCATATTCCTTCCAAGCATATCCACCATCTTCAGCAGAATACTGGTCTTCATTTGTGCTATAATTTGCAATTACAAAAGGAGGCAAATACAATTACTTCTCCAAAACATTCAAATTTAAAACCTTTGGTGTTCTTGCCTGAACCGCTGAAACTCAAATGGCCACTGTTACCTCTTTTTGTTTTCCATTTCACCTCTTGACACGCAAGTGATACATGCACCATGTGCAAGTCACATGACCCTCATATTCAAGTCACATGACCCTCATATTCAAGTCACATGACCCTCATATTCAAGTCACATGACCCTCATATTCAAGTCACATGACCCTCATATTCAAGTCACATGACCCTCATATTCAAGTCACATGACCCTCATATTCAATTCACATGACCCTCATATTCAAGTCACATGACCCTCATATTCAAGTCACATGACCCTCATATTCAAGTCACATGACCCTCATATTCAAGTCACATGACCCTCATATTCAATTCACATGACCCTCATATTCAATTTAATGACCTGTATTACCTTGTCCTACATACCAGACACCCGAGACACAACAACGTTTATTATAAACATCGATGTCACGTGACTATGATAAATTCACTTTCTGTCATCTTTCCTACTGAGTACATCTCAATGAGTCAAAAGATATATTGTTCTGTAGTATATAACAATTTCTTTAACTTTTAATCGCAGGCTTTCCCAATGCCACTTCTCCGTTCACTTTGAACTCTGCGACAGGCTGGATTACAACCAATGTAGCTCTGAACCGCGAGCTTGTTCCAATGTATCGCGTCTGTGTCGAAGCCAGGCCTGCCTTGTTTGGACGCAGGAAGCGTGCCACAGACGATACGGTTCAGAAAATAGATGTAATCGTTCTGGATAACAACGATAACGGTCCAGTGTTCCTGACTAAAGATATCTTTAAAGGTAATAAGCTCTATCACGAAGTGGTTTGTTTGTGTTTTTTGTCCTATTAACAGCTACTGTCATTTAAGGACGTGACAGTTTTCGGTGGTGGAGGACAGCAGGTACCTGTACATGGCGACTACCCCACGTAGGCCTCAAACCTGCCACGCATTGGTGGAGGGCTACAGTGGTAGCAGAATGTCAGACAGACACCTTAACCACTCGGCCACCGCGGACCCTAGATCACGAATATCACGAATTCGGTAGGGTGTTATTGTAAAAAAGGGAATAATCTCAGTATGGAAATGATCATGTTTTTCACGATGAGTAATTTGAGTGCAGAAATATCCACCCTATGAATATATCAAGAACAAATATAAACAACAAAGTTATAGGTAAGCAGAAGTGCTATTATATTCTTTCTCCAGATGCTCGATGAACAGCATGCATCTGAAGCACTTATACTTACCGACAAGCTATTGTAAATTGTTTATTTATTTTTTAATTTTTTTAACATAACATGGAACAAAAAAGAACTATATTCATTGATTACAGATATTGAGAATATATAGGTTTCAGAACCGTTACAAATGTTTAAATTTTTGACACTGCACTCATTTAAAATAGTCTGTTTTGTGCAGACGTGTTATTTTGCCATTCACATTTTATTACCATAAATGATGCTTATTTTCACTGCCCTGATAAATATGCCCCCATTACGGACGGCAAAAAAGGCAAAAGTTAAACTGTAGCGAAAAACGTCCCGATATACAGTAATGAGGATATATCTTCATATTTCATTGCATGCTGGGTATATATGGATTGTAGCTATTTCTGAGCTCCTTAAGCGAGAAATGCCCGCGAACATTTTATTTTTTGATTATCTACAGCCATATTTGAGCTCCCGACAGCGGAGGCAGTCACTCAGCTACGAGCAGTGGATCCAGATTCGTCCTTCTTCAACAAAGTGCGTTATTCCATCACGGAGATCTTGTTTGAAAAGCCTGGACGACAGATACAAACCTACGGGGCTTTCAATATTAACCCGGACACTGGTCTCGTGACGGTCAACTTCCCTACCTACAACGCCTTCACCTCTGGCTACTTCAAAATCTCCGTCCGTGCTGAAGACAGTTTCGACTCGACAATGTTTGATACAACGCAAATCATGGTACGGTATATACACTTTAAAATAACGTATAAAACATCCCTGCCTACAAAACCACTTTTTTTGTGTTATTTGTTTTTTATTGGTCATTTGGATTCCCCGTAAAAATAGATGTAGTTTTAGTTTTGAATTCTAATATTTACAAAAATGATATGCATGTTGATTAAAGATTTTTGGATTCCCCGTAAAAATAGATGTAGTTTTAGTTTTGAATTCTAATATTTACAAAAATAATATGCATGTTGATTAAAGATTTGTGTCATACATACAGTCAATAGGTTTAGTCGATTTTTAAGAAACACACCAAGCTAAAACTATATAAATCAATGTGGGCATTTATATATAGACAAAAAAAAGGGCGAAAGAAAAAAAGAATTCTGTGTATTGCCAGTAATATCTTAGTTTTTTTCTGAATCAAGGGATTTTTTTATCAAATTAATTAATTGACAAGAGAAATTTCTAATTGTTGGTACATTATATATATACAAAGCAAATTAAGCCATCAACCGAACATAGAACTGCAAAAAAAATTACCTTCTGGAATTTTTAGAAAATGGCAAATACCTTAATGGACCAAAAATATGCCCTGGGCACAAAGCAGTTTAAAAAAAAAAAAAATTTGAATGATTGTAGAATTTTTAAACTAAAAAAAAACAATTTCTCAAGTAACTTGGTAAATTTTGTCAAAGGGATGGGAAGTTCAGACCCAGAAAAGGGTAGGGGGCACTTTTTAGAGTTTGGGTACATAATCTTGTCAAAAACAGTATATTCAGAGAATTAGTTATCTAACCGAAAATCGACAGGAATGACAAAAAAAGCAAATCAAATCCACACGAAATTTTACATTTTTAAAAATTAGCATAGTTGACCACATTGCTATTTAATATTTTTTTCTTTTCAGATTTTAATTGCTGAAGAAGTCTCCCAAATTCGTGTTGTGACTGATTCAAATGACAATTTGGACATCGCAGACAATGTTGCTCAAATGATCAGGTGTGTATACATAAAATAAACCAGAAAATAAAATATATTTTCCAACAAGAGTTATCTCCTTTTGACCAGAAAACATTTTGAATGGCATGGTAATGGAGAAATTTCTTCTATAATATTCATTAGTTTTGAAATATGTAATACCAAAGTTTTGCTTTCTACACAAACAAAGTACACATTAAACATGTCGCAATGTTTCAACACCATAAAATCTATTTGAAACAAGACTCAGTCATAGCTTAAATTGACAAAGGAACCAGTTAGTCTTAAGGTGGCGCCACCATTTCGCAATTACCCAGCAGAATTCAGTGAAAGTTTGCACATAATGGTTATGTCAATATGTAGAGATGATTTTATGAAAATCTAAGCATTCCGATAAACTGGGATTTTTTTGGTGAAAAATATAGAAAAATTGAGTTTTTGTCAAATTCAACACTTTCACATTTTTTGGAGTGTGTGGCATTGTTCAAAACTATTACAACACTAAAATAATGAAAAGAAACATTGCTAATAAACCTTACAAATGTTTTATTTTTCATAAAATATCTACAACATGTTACAAAAAGCGTTCTTTTATTGAAATTGTATGGATAAAAGTTACTGAATACAAGCTAAAAGCAAACAGGACACATAGTTTCAAACAAAAAGAGGGAAAAATTGAACCAAATACACACAAAGTCTTTGTAATTCATTTATTTTACATTTTACAATAATTTTGATCCTGATGAGAGTTGTCTACCTTGAAAAAATATCAGAACTTTTTGCAGAGGGATAGAATTTATACAATGACACTTATTTTCTTTACTATACCAAAAACGACGGAAATAAATTAAATTACTATATATGATTGTCAATTTACTGTTCTTTTATGGAACAAAATTACTCTCAATCATGTACACTTTGGACATCATTCCATAGCCTGCTTACGAATGATATGTTTACAGGTCAGGTACATATGTAACCATAGGCTATCGCTATTGCAGGTATTCCGTTATCACGTGCACGCACATGCACTTGTATTTTATAGGGATCTTGATTTTTTACAAACCACCTTCTTCACAGAGTTATTGTAATTGCATTTGTGAAATGATTTATTTGACAGAGCGTAACTCGCTCGACAACAAAAGTTGTAGCGACCAAGAGCTTGTGAACTACTGTTAGCACGTGATACGTACAGGTGAGGTCGGTAAACAAAACACATCAGTCTTCATTCCATGCGCCTCATATATGACCTTCTTGAAGTCGTTTGATCTTATGTCAGTGTCTTCCTGTGAGTTAACTAATGTCTTTGTATCATAAGCTTTATTTCTGAAGTACGTGTGATGCTTTATTTCTGAAGTACATACATGTGATTACACATTTCCAAGTGAAGTCTCGATATCGGGTATTGACATATCATCGTCACGCAGGTGTACTATTGTTTACCCGGTCATACTATAATTTACACTACGGTAATGGAATGCCCGATACGCAATACGGAAATGACGACACGAAAAATACGACAAGAAAAACATGTGTATTACGAAGGGTGGGAAGTCCTTAAAACGTTGCGACACGTTTAATACGTACATTTTTCGTGTAGAAAGCAAAACTTTGATATGGGATGAAATTCATTTGTGAAAACTGTTGATGCAGAAAACGTTGGTAATTTTGTGTGTTTAACAATTCAATCTTTTACATCATGAAACACTCCGAGGGATAGTAGCAAAACGGCTTCACATCAGTGACTCCAGACATATTGGTAAAAGTTCAAACCTTTTTGAAATTTTAATTATAAATCTGTGATTGTTTTTTACAGTGACCTAAACGCAGCTGGTCTGGTCACATTCCAACAAACGCAGATACGGTATCACAAAGATTCCTCTGGAGCAGCCATCCCTTCAAAGTAGGTACACTAGAACGCTTCTTCCGATTTCGATACCATTGGACCTGACTCGATCTACCCTTGCCTTCTTGCAATTCATGAGGCATGGTAGTCTATTGGTAGAACGCTCACTACAGGGCTCCCGACTGAAGGGTTACGGGATCGAATCCCATCATGGCACCGTGTTGTTTCCTTGAACAAGATATTTTACTCCGCTTGTTCTAGTCTACACAGCTGTAAATGAGTACGTGGTTGGGCAGTGCTGGAATTGTTGAATGCTAGCTGTGAGCACCCAAATAGCATCACCGGCTGTATGCTCCCCAGGGAGTTGAGAAAGATATCGTCTGGTCGCAAAGACCCTATAGCCACGGATAATAATTTGTGAACTATTTTGAGACGACTTAGGTTGTGATGAAGCAGTATATATCCAGTCTCCCTTGATGTCATTAAAGTTAGGTTTACTGACACACGGTCTTAACTGACCAAATGACATAATCTTCATTGATGTCAATAAAGTGAAGTTAACAGACACACCGTCTTATCTGACCAAATGATCCAGTCTCCATTGATGTCAATAAAGTAAGGTTAACAGACACACTGTCTTATCTGACCAAATGATCCAGTCTTCATTGATGTCAGTAAAGCGAGGTTAACAGACACACAGTCTTATCTGACCAAATGACCCAATCTTCACTGATGTCAGTAAAGTGAAGTTAACAGACACACTGTCTTACCTGACCAAATGATCCAGTCTTCATTGATGTCAGTAAATGAAGGTTAACAGACACACAGTCTTATCTGACCAAATGGTCCAGTCTCCATTGATGTCAATATAGTAAGGTTAACAGACACACAGTCTTATCTGACCAAATGGTCCAGTCTCCATTGATGTCAGTAAAGTAAGGTTAACAGACACACTGTCTTATCTGACCAAATGACCCAATCTTCATTGATGTCAGTAAAGTGAGGTTAACAGACACACTGTCTTATCTGACCAAATGATCCAGTCTCCATTGATGTCAGTAAAGTAAGGTTAACAGACACACTGTCTTATATAATTATCTGACCAAATGATCCAGTCTTTATTGATGTCAGTAAAGTGAGGTTTGCTGACACACTGCCTTCTCTGACCAAAATTTTAGTCCTTTTGATGTCGGTAAAGTCGTGTTTAACTTTAAATTTTGGGTTATTTTGATGGATACTTGATCCTATCTTGCAGACATATTTAGCCAAGGAATGTAAATATATATTTGTCTGCTAGTATTCAAACCCTTGAAAAATGTTGGTCTAATGCACAGTATGGTGATAATTAGATTGCAAAATATGGTAAATTGATGCTTTTTGTCACATAAAATGAGATTAAACAAGGGAAAACCTCCAGCTGAATACAAATATGCAATTCTTGTCTCGCTGTAATAATTGGCGGAAACGAGACTAAGGTGTTGCTTTTCCGCCGGCGGGGGCGTCAACATTAAGTTTTTGTGTTTAAGTTAATTTCACTGAAAGTAGAAGTGCTAGACCAACCAAACTTGGACCATAGATGCATCTTTGGTAGTACATCTCAACCCATGCATCAAATGCTGGATGCGGCCTACCGTTCATGGTCTATTGACTTAATGTCAGCATCTCCATCAACATCAAGTTTTTAAGCATTTAAGTTAGTTTTCTCTGAAACAAAAATGTATGCTGATAACTGATCAAGCATTCTATAATGAAATTGATTTAATTGTAGAACTGATGTGTGTATGCTGGCAATCCAAAACAACAAAGTGTTGGACGCTTATGACGGACAAGCCATGCTGGAAACAAGGGATGGAATAATTCGTAACTATGGCTTCAGGGAGATCGGGGTGAGTTGACAAAGCAAAAGAATTTTTTTTCTACTTGCTCAGAGAAAAGCATTACCGTATCTATCCTGCAATATGCCTTTGTAGCAAATACATATAACTCCAACAAATGTAACACATTGAAGTTATTTTAAGACAGAATTTGCCTATCTGCTTAAGGATCCCTGTCCCTCCGCCTAAAAATGTAATGAGGCATTGTTTTTTTAGCTCACCTGGCCCAAAGGGCCAAGTGAGCTTATGGCATGGTGCGGCGTCCCTCGTCCGTCCGTCCGTCATCCGTCCGACGTCAACTTTTTACTTTAAACAACTTCTTCTCAGTAACCAAAAGGCCTAGGGTGATGATATTTGGCCAGAAGCATGCTGGGATGAAGCGCTTCCAAGTTTGTTCAAATAAATGACCTTCATCTATTTTCAAAGTCACAGGGGTCAAATACATTAAAATATTTAAGCAACTTCTTCTGAATAACCAAGAGGCCTAGGGTGATGATAGTTGGCCAGTAACATGCTGAAATGAAGGGCTACCAAGTTTGTTCAAATAAATGACCTTGATTTACATTCAAGGTCACTTGGGTCAAACATGTTTAAAACCTTTAAACAACTTCTTCTGAATAACTGAGAGGCCTAGGGTGATGATAATTGGCCAGTAACATGCTGGGATGAAGGGCTACTTAGTTTGTTCAAATAAATAACTTTAAATCATATTCAAGGTCACTGGGGTCAAATATGTTAAAAACATTTAAACAACTTCTTCTGAATAACCGAGAGGCCTAGGGTGATGATATTTAGCCAGTAACATGCTGGGATAAAGGGCTACCAAGTTTGTTCAAATAAATGACCTTGACCTATATTCAAGGTCACAGGGGTCAACTATGTATAAAACCTTTAAACAACTTCTTCTGAATAACTGAAAGGCCTAGGGTGATGATATTTAGCCAGTAACATGCTGAAATAAAGGGCTACCAAGTTTGTTCAAATAAATGACCTTGACTTATATTCAAGGTCACAGGGGTCAAATACGTTAAAAACATTTAAACAACTATTTCTGAATAACCAAGAGGCCTAGGGTGATGATATTTGGCCAGTAACATGCTTGGATGAAGGGCTACCAAGTTTGTTCAAATAAATGACCTTGACTTACATTCAAGGTCATAGGGGTCAGCTATGTTGAAAACCTTTAAACAACTTCTTCTGAATAACCGAGACAGCTAGGGTGATGATATTTGGCCAGTAACATGCTGAAATAAAGGGCTACCAAGTTTGTTCAAATGAATGACCATGACATATATTCAAAGTCACAGGGGTCAATTATGTTAAAAACCTTTAAACGACTTCTTAATAAGCAAAAGGCCAAGGGTGATGATATTTGGCCATTAACATGCTGGGATGAGGGGCTACCAAGTTTGTTAAGTGAATTACCTCGCCCATATTCAAGGTCACAGTGGTCAATATATGTTTAAATCTTTAAATGATTTGTTCTGTATAACCAAAAGGTACAGGGTAATGATATTTTGCTAGAAGTATGCTGGGTTTGAAACTATTAACTCTGTTCAACCTAATGTCCTTGTTCGACATTCAAGGTCATGGGCGTCAAATGTTTAAATCTTTTAATAGGTTCTTATGAATCAAACACTGATATTCTGTCTGAAGTGTGAGATTAATACCAGGTGAGCGATTCAGGCCCATTGGGCCTCTTGTTTTAGCTCACCTGGGTACTGTATACCGGGAAGTTTTCGCCCAGTCAAACTTTCACCCTTTGCCAAGGAAATCTGTTTTTGCACAGTGTTCATTTTTCACCCTTCACATTTTATTATCATGTATATGGTATTGTTTTCTGATATATTCTCTGTAATAAAAAGGTAAAAATAAAACTGCAGCAAAAATGTCCTGGTATATACAGTATTTGTTAATTCTCACATGATTTTTACATCAATTTTGATACCATATTCTTCCTAAAATTCACCATCTACATTTCTTTATACATTTCAGTTTTATTTCCTGTATCTTTTTAAGTACACAGTTTGATAACAAAATCATGAAACAAATCTTTTTTTTATTTTTATTTTTTTTGTGGACATATATGACTCTATTATAGAGCCTGTGTGGTTATCAGGTTTTATACGGTAAATTATTATCTAGTGAATACCAGATCTTGTTTGCCAATAGAAACACAGGCAATGAGAGCCAGGATTTATTACAGCATGTAATTATGGCAATTGGTTTTCGGCTGTCAGTAGGGGCACAAACATGGAAAAGCATCGCTTATATAGATTTACCGGAATAATCCGTTGCATCAAGGCCTTTTTTTTTTATCTACAACAAGATATCCTGAAAATAGTAACATTATCGTGTCGCGACGGGATATGGATGTCCATGTATTAATGTCGACGATGTCTACTTGGTTAATGAAACTCGGATTCGGTCTCGAGTTAATGATATTTAACCATAACTGGACTACGATCATTGTGTCTAGGTGCCTGTTTGTCCAGAATGAGGCTGTTTGTCAGTCATCTGAAACCATTTCTCAAAATCAAAAATATATATTTTCATTTGAAATATCATACATTTCATCATTGGTATTTCCATATTAAATTGCTTGGTATGTATCCTGTTTTTCATTATGCCATTTACTGCAAAATCAATTTGATGTCTGAGATATGAATTTCAAATAATTTTCCTCTAGATTTGCTTGATGTTGGTCGAAGCATTTAATTCAATAAAGCATACTAAGGGAGATTACTCTTTCTGAAATCAAAATCATATTGAGAAAAAAAAGAGTATATTATTCATATTGGAATATGGCCTATGAAGTTGGGGTAGGGGCATACGTATCTCCAAATTTTGCCCCCGAGGTCATTTAGTCAGAAATTATTTTTAGGATTTTTACCGCCCAATCCCCTTGTTAAAATAAACTTTGAATGTGTTTTGAAGACTAATTTTTTCATGTGGATATGCGAGGGGATACTAAATAAAAACTTTGAACTGTTAAAAACATACCATCACCTTGCTTCTCCACTCCTTTCTCCCACTTCTCACTATCTGAGTACCTTTAATTTAACTCATTCACCCCTGAAGACACATTTGAACTCTTCCAAATCAAAGGTTGGAATAGTTCATTATGAACTTTCAGGGATGAATGAGTCAAGAATAGTGCTGTGATCTTTAGTTATATGATAGAGAATGTGTTACTTTACAGAAAAGAAGAAAAATATAACAATATTCAAATAGTATCTGCCACTTCTGACAATGTGACCCTGTGGCATTGCATTATAGTTTATTGAACAGATTGACTTTTAAATTGAGCTTCCACTTATGTATTTATTTTTTACCTCTTTTTCAGTCCTGTGAGCCTTCTACAACCAGTGACCTTGAGGGTTGGTCTGTCTTCTGGTGGGTCCTGGTTGCCTTCGCCATCTTCATGTTCATCCTCATCCTTATCCTGATGTATGCGATCTTTGCGCTATACCGCAAGTAAGTATTGTTCAGCAGAATCGGCGAAAAGCAAGAAAAATTCAGGTCACAGAAACTTTTCTGTCGCATCAGTTAATGTTTGCATGTTAATAGGTGGACTTGGGAATGTGTTCACATAATAAGGCGCAGTCCTTTACACGTAACAATACAGGAAACACACCCATTTGGTACAAATACAGGTAAAAACTAGCATACATTACACAGTATTCACTGGAGTGGCCTTACAAGAGAGGTAGTCTTCCCTTAGAACGGTCTCTGTTTACAGTATCACTGTAGTGGCCTAACAAGAGAGGAAGTCTTCCCTTAGAAGGGTCTCTGTTTACAGTATTCACTGTAGTGGCCTTACAAGAGAGGTAGTCTTCCCTTAGAATGGTCTCTGTTTACAGTATTCACTTGACTGGCCTTACAAGAGAGGTAGTCTTCCCTTAGAACGGTCTCTGTTTACAGTATCACTGTAGTGGCCTAACAAGAGAGGTAGTCTTCCCTTAGAAGGGTCTCTTTTTACAGTATTCACTGTAGTGGCCTTACAAGAGAGGGAGTCTTCCCTTAGAATGGTCTCTGTTTACAGTATTCCCTGGAGTGGCCTTACAAGAGAGGTAGTCTTCCCTTAGAATGGTCTCTGTTTACAGTATTCACTTGACTGGCCTTACAAGAGAGGCAGTCTTCCCTTAGAATGGTCTCTGTTTACAGTATTCACTAGAGTGGCATTACAAGAGAGGTAGTCTCCCCTTAGAATGGTCTCTGTTTACAGTATTCACTGTAGTGGCCTAACAAGAGAGGTAGTCTTCCCTTAGAAGGTGCTCTGTTTACAGTATTCACTGTAGTGGCCTTACAAGAGAGGTAGTCTTCCCTTAGAATGGTCTCTGTTTGCAGTATTCACTGGAGTGGCCTTACAAGAGAGGTAGACTTCCCCTTAGAAGGGTATCTGTTTACAGTATTCACTGGAGTGGCCTTACAAGAGAGGTAGACTTCCCCTTAGAAGGGTATCTGTTTACAGTATTCACTGGAGTGGCCGTATAAGATAGGTAGTCTCCCCTTAGAACCGTCTCTATTTACAGTATTCACTGGAGTGGCCTTACAAGAGAGGTAGACTTCCCCTTAGAAGGGTATCTGTTTACAGTATTCACTGGAGTGGCCGTATAAGATAGGTAGTCTCCCCTTAGAACGGTCTCTATTTACAGTATTCACTGGAGTGGCCTTACAAGAGAGGTAGTCTTCCCTTAGAATGGTCTCTGTTTACATTAATCAGTGGAGTGGCCGTACAAGAGAGGTAGTCTTTCCTTAGAATGGTCTCTGTTTACAGTATTCACTGGAGTGGCCTTACAAGAGAGGTAGTCTGCCCTTAGAATGGTCTCTGTTTACAGTATTCACTGGAGTGGCCTGACAAGAGAGGTAGTCTTCCCTTAGAATGGTCTCTGTTTACTGTATTCACTGGAGTGGCCTTACAAGAGAGGTAGTCTTCCCTTATAATGGTTTCTGTTTACTGTATTAACTGGAGTGGCCTTACAAGAGAGGTAGCCTCCCCTTAGAAGGGTATCTGTTTACAGTATTCACTGGAGTGGCCTTACAAGAGAGGCAGTCTTCCCTTATAATGGTCTCTGTTTACAGTAATCACTGGAGTGGCCTTACAAGACAGGTAGTCTCCCCTTAGAGGGGTCTCTGTTTACAGTATTCACTGTAGTGGCCTTACAAGAGAGGTAGTCTTCCCTTATAATGGTCTCTGTTTACAGTAATCACTGGATTGGCCTTACAAGAGAGGTAGTCTCCCCTTATAATGGTCTCTGTTTACAGTAAACACTGGAGTGGCCTACTAAGCTTGGTAGTAGTGATTTATAAGGTTGACCTCTTGAGACAGATTTTTATCCCCTGCTTTTACCGAAACGGGGGATATTAATTTGGGTCTGTCTGTCTCTGTCTGTCTGTCACACCTCGTTTTCATGCAATAACTATAACAAATATTAACCAATTTTCTTCAAATTTAATCACAGGGTAAAATGCCTTATGGGCTCGACCAAGTTCAATGACCACTTTCAGCGGACCCCATTTGGCAATAACTATATCAAATGTTAACCGATTATCTTCAAACTTGGTTAGATTTTGATGAAAAATGGTATATAGGGATATTAGGGGACTGCGAATAAAACCGCATTAGTTTCGTTACCATAGCAACCACACAGAGGCTTCTGATTTGTCGAAATTTAGATATTGTTCGATTTTGATGAAAACTGGTTAAAGGGATATAAGGGGACTGCTAATTCAACCACATATTCGAATATTCGCAATATGAAGTTTCGTTACAATAGCAACCACACGGAGGCTTCTGATTGGTGGAAATTAAGAGATTGTTCAATTTTGATGAAAATTGGTATCTTGGGGTATAAGGGGACTGCGAATTCAACTGCATAAGTTTTCGTTGCCATAGCATCCCAATTGAGGTTTCTTATTGGTCGAAATTAAGATATTTTTCGATTTTTATGAAAATTGGTATATAGGGATAATAGGGGACTGCGAATAAAACTGCATAAGTTTCATTACCATAGCAACCGCACGGAGGCTTCTGATTGGTCACGATTCAGATATTGTTTGATTTCGATGAAAATTGGTATATATATATATATAGTGGCATAAGGGGACTGCCAATTCAATCGCTTACGTTTCTGTTGCCATAGCAACTACACAGAGGATTCTGATTGGTTACAATTTAGAAATTGCTGAGTTTCACTAAAATTTAGTATGTATATTGTAGGTGTACCTTGGCAATGCGATCCCTTTCTGATGCATCTTTGTGACTATGGGGGCAGTTTCGGGGACATCTGTAATGGTGCCCCATTATTTTAGTGGCCATGCTAGAAAGGTCGTCATCTTCCCCAAGGGTGTTCTTTATAGACAGTGTATATTACAGCGTATGCGCTCAAGACATTGCTTCCTAAGACAACTGAGTCTTTAAAAACTACTCAGTTGGCACAAATGATTTTGCCTTCCTTTCGGAAATTCTGCACTGTTATATAATTATCGGAGTCATTGACATTGGAGATCTCTCGAGAAGAATCTCCACCTGGTGGTTCCTGATCAGCGAACAGTTTAATGACGTGGAAAATGAGTAATGTTCTTCAATATGAATTTCTTTTTGTCCTCTGGTTTTCAATCAACTTCAATACAAAAAAAACTATGCCACTGCTAGGTGTTCGATACAGCTATGTTTTGAAACTTCTGAATTTGAAATATTTGACGTTAATGAGGTCGTAAAAAAGATATCTTGTCAGTCACTGAGATTTTACGTTTTCAAGATTTTACGAAGGGTATGTAACATATGGTTGTCGATATTTTTATTATTGATGATGGTTTAATGTCTCGTTGTATGAGAATGACTTGTTTATTTTCAAATTCAGCTCTTTTGATTAACAATGAAAAAAATAAAAAAAAGTTTAAACTGCATAGTGGTTAATTTTGGATTCATAATTATTTTCACAAATGAAGAAGCTTTAACTCATATTTGCAAGCTAAATACTATTTTATTGTATTATTGCACCGGGTGGTGTAGTGGATAGTGCACTTGACTTTCATCAAGGTGGCCGGGGTTCGATTTCTTGATCGGACGTGAAAAGGTATATGGGGTAACCTGCCCGACAACGTGGGTTTATCCGGGTATTCCGGTTTCCTCCCACACTAAGAACACCCCCCACCCCCACCCCCACCCTGTCGCGCACCATTATCTGGGCCAACAAGAGTGATTATAAATAACACATTTCAGCATGTATGAAATTTATTCTGCAATAAGCCCATGCCTGGTAATAAGCCCACCCATTTCTATTACAATCTAGTAAAATATGTCACCAAATGCTGGTATCCTGTGATAATATTAACAAAGTCAACATATCTATTTTGAGTTTATCAACAAGTGGGTTGAGCTTTGGACATGTCTAATCAAATGGTTTAATTGATTTTCTTTGCAATTTGTTTTAGTTACAAAAGTTTTATGACTACAAGACAACAATGTAAGTATTTTCGTAAAATTTATCTCTAGATAAGAATGTGAAAGTTTTCTTACAGCAATTATATGATAGTTTCTAGCTATGTTAGAATACAGGAATTGTTTATTTCAGGATGTGTGAACATGTATTTCCAATTGATTTAATTAGGAACCAAGTTAAAAATACAGGCAAATTAAAATATTTCTTAAAAAAATTGTATGTAGAAAACGTTTTTTCTGAAATTAGAAAAAAAAATGAAAAAAAAAACCGCTTATCAATTTGAATCTCAGAATTTGAATATTTTGATTTTAATTGAAATAATAATGAAAATATTTATGATTAAGAATCCGTCTGAATCTGATTTTACAGTCGATAAAGCGTGATATTGATATTACAGAGTCAAAGTTCTTGGATTTCATTCCGATTTTTCCAGTACACCGATCTATAAACACTTCGGGTGTAAAGGCCTCAGAAACATTTTCCCCGATTCCCATTTCTCATGACATAACAATCTTTAATAGAAGATGCCACCAATGTTTTTATCTTTCCAGATTTGGTGCAATAAACATCATCAATGACCTTGACCTTTGCTGTCAGCGTCATCGTCCCCATGGAGATTTATCCAGAGTCGCGGAGGGAGGCTCACAACGTAAAAACATCAAGTCTGGTCTTCTTACGGAAAATGAAACATAACGTTTGTGCCAATATTTTTCCAATTTGTGAAATATCTTGGGAATATTATTTGATTTTAGAAAATCTCTGTGGATAAATAAATACAGAAAACATGAAATACATATTGGGATATAACACTTTCCAAAATTGTCCGCGTCCGACATGGTTACGATATTGCAGTAACTTTATATGGTAGATGTTGACATGAAGCGGGAACGTCTGTCTTGCCATTTGACATGAAGTGTGACATTCGTGAATCTCCGAATGACGTGATACAAAGACAATTGATGTTTTGGACAAAAAACGTCTAGACGTTTGGTCGTTTCTTAATACTGAGCTATCTGGCATCGAATTTGGACAGTTGAGGGCGACCCAAACATTTGATTTGGTCGAGGGAAAACTACAAGACAAGAAACTGTCCCTGACTTCCTACGGCCGTTCCAGACGTACTTCAACCAATCCGGTTCCCTGAGACGTATATTGATTAAAGCCCAGTTAAAATGCCAACCTACTTTTGAAGTTCGAAATATAAAAAAGGAAAGGCTGCATTGTCTCAGAAATAAAACAATGGCCGACTAAAAATGTTATTTAAATGTTAATCTGAAGTTTGAAATGAAAATGTCGTAAGATTTTGTTACATAACTTCTAAGAATTAACCTGGAGTGATTCTGAGCTTGTATCAACCTTCTCATCCCTAAAATTCTTCATTGGATTCTACTGTCTAATGTTTTAGGGTTCTGCTATGATGGATTATGGGGATGACAGGATCAGATGCGGGTTATTTTATTTTACTCTATATGTTTTTGTGCGGTAACAGAATTTTTCCAGTGATAAGCCCGGGGGTCGGGGGACTAGAGGGGGATGCAGGGAGTAAGGGGTTGAGGGGATAAGGTGAATATTTGAATTTTACACCAATTGCAGGAGTAATTTATTTCCAGAAATACTCCTCTCTTTTTCTGTTAATCTGTTTAACAAAAGGGTGGGCTTATTCTGAAGCATGGGGCTTATTAGTGGTAGAATGTGTTACATTATATGTTATTGTGCTGTTATTGTGTGTATTGCTCATCTTAAGTAACATTGTTTGTTCTATATAACTGTATCCAAGTTATGCAAGTTTGTTTGTGATAAACACATTTTTTTTTGTATCGACAAACACCGAGGAATGAAAGTGGCTTTATATTTACAAAGGTAAAAGTGTATTTTTAGTTAGAGATCTAAAGTTGTCTTTTGAAAGGGCTCAAGATGTTTCCAAGGATTTGAGTTCACACTTATAAGTTTCCTTAGTACTTGTATTTAAAAACAATATACATATTGGTCAATACATGGATTTCTAAAACTATAAAAAAAACTTAACTCAATTCATAATACAACATAAACCTGTTTAAAAAGGATTTTTTCCTGCATAATTCTTTCATTACAGACACCTCAATAACTGAAAGTAATAAGTTCAATAAAGTAATACTATTTTGTTTTCGATACAACCAATTTTTTTTACTTTTTCATATTTCGAAAATTAAGGTCGAGCGTAATTTATCATTATTTACAAGGTCAGCATTTGATTAAATTGTGACCTTTGACCTGTTGTTGATGATCACTATGTGTACTTGAATGTCTCACTAACCAGATTGAAGAACAAGCTCTGCAACTTACCACAGCCTGTGTACATAATTCATATTCATATCCATATTTTAAAATATTGATGTATCTATGCATCAAAACTCTTTCAAGGTCTTTCACTTGACGTTTTCAAGGTCAGAATGTCAAATTAATTCATTTTGTCTAGAACGAGAATTAAAATAATTATTGATTTTGGCAGTGGTTAAGGTTTTGAAATGATTTTATTTATACTAAGATTATAGAGCATTGGAGATTCATACATATTCATCAAAATACAATTGTATGCATTACGAAAATGTAACGTGCTTATAAATAACAAAAGTGGAATTTTGAAAGATGGATAGGTACACCCCAAGGTCATTGCTATTTGGATATAAGCTGAGGAAAGAGATTTTAATGATAGGGCTTTTAGTTAAATCTGGAAAATCATCATGGTAGGAAGTATACGATACTTGTATATGTAAAAACATCCCCCAACGCTTACTCAAACGTGATATAGATGTTTCTGTGTATCTGTATTTTTAAACATATTTATATACCTATGTTGTTACATACCGTATGTAAGAGATCAGCCTGGACCATATATGTATAAATGAAATGCCTGCTTTTCAAAAATCATGCCCCCNTTTTACAAATATTGTGGGGGTGTGCACATTGTTCTCAAATAGAAGAAAATATATCTGAATCTACCTGGCAGCAGACCCATTTAATAAATTGGTATTAAATCATTCACCCCTGAAGACACATTTGAACTCTTCCAATTCAAATGTTGGAATACTTCATTGTACAATTTCAGGGGTAAATGAGTTCAGAGTGAAAAATAACTTTAAATTGGGGTTCGCGTGGGGGAGGCATGACACACCTTCATCCATCCTTGCACTCTGCTATTACAAACAGAAGTTAGTTATCTTTCTTAGTGTGCAATTTTGTTTTTGACTTTTCAGCTTGAAATGTCATTTTTATGAAAATTTAATTAAAATCCATAGCTTTATGTTTACCATGCAAGAGTTTACCATTAGAAAGTTATTAACGAAGTTCCGAGGTATTTCAGAAAATGATAAGTACCCCCAAGGGCATTTATTAAAAATATTTCCGATATTAGCATATTATTCCCAAATGTTTTGCTATACATACCCTTCAAAGTGCTATTTCAATTAGTTAAAATTAACTGAGCTGAGGATTTATCACATTAAGAATGTAAGATGGATTCACACTTTCAGACACAAAAGTACTATACTTACGTCTGTATCGTTGGGGAAAAATTTAATTGATGATGAAGTCTGTTGAAATTCAAATTAACACTTCGAATCATTTATTTAGCACCCGGGGGACACTTGGAGCCTGCTAGAGTCTCGTTATGGTAGCATTTCAATTAGTCAGCAGTTTCTGCCCTTTTCTGTCTGGGCTCCAAAGGGACTCGCTCACAGCAATTTTCTGGTAATGAAGACCACCGCTAAATTCTAATAAACCTTGTTTACATACACAAACGGAATCGTGTTTAAAACAGCTTGCCACCAATGCTACATGTTTTGCATTCTTAACCATGTTCAGTTTGAAGTCACTTGAAACATTTAAATTGTTGTTAATGAAAGCTTTCGTAGGTTTCCTGTAGGTGAAAATTTAAATTGAATCTGAAAAAAACAGTTGTAATTATGGGGTTTTATGAATATGGTAATTTAAAACTTTAATTGCTAAGAATAAGTTCTTGGTGGTCCTGAATACTGGACACAGCTGGGTTGAACATCTATGCTCAATATGTGGTAACAATTAACTCATTCACCCCTGAAGACACATTTGAACTCTTCCAATTCAAAAGTTGGAATAGTCCATTATGAAATTTCAGGGGTGAATGAGTTGAACATCTATGCTCAGAATGTGGTAACAATAAGAAAACACGTTTTAAGACACAAGTACAACTTTGAACTGTATGTATTGGTGTATATAAATTCGGGTAAGATTTGTGATCTGTTTTTACTTGCCTCTGAATGACTGCAATACACAATACATGTACAGGGTATGCCAGCACCTTCTTCCGTTTATATACAGTATACAAGTTGTATGGTTGTCATGTAGTTGTGATGTATATTACACATTCCGTAAAATCGTCTGATACGATGGTTTTATATTGATATGTAAAACATATATATATATATATACATTAAAAAACTATTTTTTATATTTGTAATAGCTTTCTGGGTTATTTGTTTTTTTGTTGTTGCCGTGATTTATGAATTATTGATGTGCTGTAAATTATTCCGTAGCAATAAACTGTAAGAACGGTGGCTCCGTTCCTTGCCATGCTTCGGGGTGGTGCTGAAGTTTGTAGAATACTGGAAATTGATTTTATAACGCTTTTAGGAATGTACACGGTATGTAGAACAAGTGTAAGTCGAAGTCAACAGAAATGATGTCTGGGAACTTAAATTGAAGTGTTTGGTCCAAATGTCAGGTCCACAGGAAAAAAATACTTTCAGAAACCCATTTTATTGAAATGCCATCTTCTCATCAAAGATGGTCTGTGTAAAAACAAGGCAATATCCGTCTTATAAAGTGACTGCTTCAAGCTGTATTATTAAAAACTAAAAAGGTTCTTAAACAAAGTTGGTTTATGATTGTTATTACTAGGATCACTTTGTCTTTCAACAAGGAACTGTTTTGACATTTAACTGATGCCCATACCACTACCCAAAACGGTAACTTAGTACTGGAAACTACTTCTCCAGTATGACTGTAGCCTTGATAAACAATTTCTGGGAAAGAAAATCTTGCCTTGTGAGACTTTTATAAAAAAAAAAATATATAAAGATGAAACAAAATACAATTAATCCTTTCACCCCTAGGTAACTTTAGTAGACTCTACTATACGTGTATCTAGATGAGTCCATTCTGGTCTACAGTGGTGAAAGGGTTAACAACAGTGTTCTGGGTGTGCATTGCTGGAGCGGGATTCGAACCATGGACCTTGGTTGTTATACTATTGTTCTAACCGATTGAGCTACCTGGTCTACAGAATTGTCCTGGCCCAATTATGTTTGTGGTATACACAACATGAAGTTTAGGGGAGATTAAAGTATATAGGGTTTGGTGGGACGGATCCTGAAGTAATATGATGCCCTACTCTGAAATGCATCTCCTTTTCCAAAGAGTTCCTTACATATAGCAAAATTCTGTTTCTGTTTGACTCATTCACCCCTGAAACTTCATAATGAATTATTCCAACCTTTGAATTGGAGGAGTTTAAATGTGTCTTCAGGGGTGTATGAGTTAAAGTGATATGTCTGCATATTTTTTTTTTACAATTTTGCTACCTTGAACTTATCAATAGGTTTTCACTCAACAGGTAAATATTGTAAGAAATTATAATATTCCGTATATTGACTATTATTTATAGAAACCCTGAAAAACTAACAACAACACAATTTGTATCAATATGCAAATAAAGAAAATCAAGTTCATATACAGAAAGATAAGAATTATTAAATAAGATTATATATAGAGGGATTCATGATAGGTTCTATCTACTACTGGCATTTGTCATGATAAATGGGAAGGCTCTGTACGTGACACCTTCATGATCAAGATCAAGGGAATGGTGCAGCAGCATAACGGTAAATTGACAGGCTTTGAAGTGTGGTGTTGCTTCTCTGTAATCTTCAAAGGACAGGTAACAGTTTTGTCCTATACTTGATACCAATCCATTAGCTGACTTCATCAAGACATACTCCAAGGGAGCAGAGAAGGTAAATTTATATCCAGAGAATGACTTCGAGAATGAATTTCGAAGATGAATAGAAGCATAAGCACAAGAGACTGTCATTTGTCTTTTCAGCAAGTTCTAGATCCTTGCAGAACTGGCTCTTAGTTGAAACTAATCAAGCAGATATTACTACGGACAAAGGTATTGGAGTCGCATTTCTAGGTGGCATATTGTCGGAAAAACCCCTAAGGTGAAGAACAATGTGACCAAAGAACAGATCTCGGAGATCGATTGGTAGCAGGCACTCTAGAAAAAAATGAGAAGTACGTGTAAGTCAAGAAAACACTCTGCATCATCTTTACTATGTAACTATCATAAAATCCTAAAGACAACAATTAAGCTAGAAAAGGGGAAAGATCATGGAATCTTAAGAGAGCCCGCAAATCAGTTGAACTTCCAATTGGTAAATCCACGACGAATCATAGAAGATACATATGTTCTCATTATCAGCGTATGGAGACAGTCGGAATTCAGAGGACCTTGTAACTAAAAGCGTACCACCGACACATTGAAGGCAGATATAGGTACAGTAACCTAATGCCACATGCAATTAAGCACCAAATTATCAACAAAAGAACACTTCATGCTTAAAATTGAAGACAGGAAATTGCAAAATATGAAGATAGACAAAGGTTTACATTGAGATCCCTGAAACAGTACCAGGACAATAAGATGTTGCGGAAGGAGAAGCGTCCTCTGCTTCATCGATGACACCGCCATGTCAGATCTAAGTTATGTCACGTCCTGTGGCGGGAACCCGGGTATTGACAATAAAACCACAAGGCACACAAAGACATAAAAATATCAACATTCATATCACACAGAGGAATACCACATTTCCACCCGAGAAAGTGATCGAGTTCTTATCTATCGGACTGACATCCTTGAGGATTATGTCAGCCGTGAATTCGAGATTGAGGGAGCCTAGAGTAAACAGTATCCCCGACAGGAAGGTATGGCACCAATGCTTGGCAACATCATCCAGTATTCTCTTGATTGGTAGTCGTCATCAAACTACCGACTTACGGAAATCTTTCGACATGGTCGACAGCAACTACATATGGAGAATCCTAATACACCTACAACATTCTTGAGAATATAGTCTACGTCACCAGAAATCTGTGTAAAGAAATCACCTAACATACTATCCATAATAAGAAATGTACCCACCTTTCTAATTAGAAAGTCATCATACGTAAGAGTCCGGCTTTGGTGTCGCTTGCCTCTATATTCCGCTTGTTGGTTCACTGCTCTTTCAGTTAAAGAAGGCTTACTATTCGGAAAAAATCGAAGAATGTGGCAAGGATAAAAGACAACTTTTTAGACTCACCAAAAACCTAATGGGACAGAAAGGTGAAATTATCCTTCCAATTCTGAAAAAGACTTAGCAAGCAAGTTCAGTGATTACTTTCTGAATAAAATCAGCTCAATCAGGAAAAATATTACCGAAGTGAACACCTCTGCTGACATTGACATCTCTGACATGACTGCTGACATTGCATTTGATGGTGAACCATTAACAAAGCTCTCACCAACAACCCAGGACGAGTTGCGCAACATTATCATGACCTCGCAATCGAAGTCCTGTGAGCTTGATCCACTGCCTACAGACCTATTAAAGCAATGTCTTGAAGCACTGCTTTCTTTGATTTCCGCAATCATAAACAAATCATTGGTTCCATTATGTTTCAAGAAGGCACATGTCAGACCATTGTTGAAAAAGCATGGAATGGACAAGGAGGAGTTGAAAAACTACCGCCCAGTTTCAAATCTGCCTTTTCTGTCTAAGATCTTGGAGAAGGTTGTGTCCCGGCGTTTAGAGGTTCATCTCCATGCAAACAGTCTCCATGACAACATGCAATCGGCCTACCGCATGGGACACTCTACTGAGACGGCCCTCCTACGTGTACATAGTGATATAGCTTCTGCATTGGATAACAAGTGCAGAGCGGTGCTTGTCATGCTGGACTTGTCAGCTGCATTTGACGTCATCGACCATGGCATACTTTATAAACGTCTGGAATACTCTTATGGAGTGACTGATACCGCACTATGCTGGATACAGTCATACCTGAGTGAACGACGACAGTGTGTTGCCATCGGATCTGCCACCTCACATGACAAAGTACTAGATTTCGGGGTTCCTTAAGGGTCGGTGTTAGGACCACGAAAATATTGTATGTACTCCAAACCGATTGGAGAGATTTGCCGTCGCCATAGCCTTCGCTATCATTGCTATGCTGATGACACACAAATTTACATGGTCATAAAACCACAGGACAGTTGGAATACAGTCTCAGAAAGTTTGGAAGCTTGTCCGACAGATATCAGTATCTGGATGAACGCCAACATGCTTAAACTTAATCAGGAAAAGACGGAACTAATCGTCTTTTCCCAACAGTTTCAGCAAACAATGGCTCTCGTGCTCAATGTTGGTGCCAGAACTATTAAGACTGTTCCAGCTGTTAAAAACCTAGGGGTATACTTTGACATTTCTCTGAACATGGAGAAACAAGTGAACGCTATTGCCAAATCCTGTTACTACCAGATCAAGAACATCGGCTGTATTCGGCAGTTTCTGACTGCAGATGCATGCAAGATTTTGGTGCATTCACTTGTTACCTCTCGGTTGGATTATGGTAACGCCCTGCTCTGTGGTATATCTGACAAACTAACTAGTCGTCTAGACAGGGCCCAGAACACTGCAGCACGGCTAGTTACTCGTACTCGAAAGAGAGAGCACATCACACCTGCGCTTTATTCGTTGCACTGGTTACCTGTACGATACAGGTCGCAGTACAAAATTCTGGTATACACATACAAGGCACTGAATGGAACAGCTCCTCAGTACCTACAGGAACTTGTTACCCTGTATCAGCCGTCAAGATCACTGCGGTCGGAGTCAGAATCTTTGTTGTGTGTCCCAAAATCTCGTACTGTGACCTACGGAAACAGATGCTTTGGGAGGGTTTCGGCTACGTTGTGGAATAGCTTACCATCTGCTATTAGGAAGTCGAATACCCTGGCCAAGTTCAAGAGGGACATAAAAACTCACCTCTTCACGTCTGCATTTTAGAATCTTTGCAAAGACGTCATGTAAATACCACCCTTTTATTTGTTCAATTATGTGCACATTGCTTGTTAAATGTATGAAAGTGATTGCAAGCCTTTGTTGTTTGTTTTCACAATTATAACCATTACTATTATCCATATGTTGTAAAGCGCCTTAGAGTAATTTTACAAATTATATGGGGCGCTATATAAATGTTGTATATTATTATTATTATTATTATTTGGCTAGTAGCACAGCTACCGGTCTTCGTTAACACCAGTCTGAGACAGATTCTATTTATCGGATGGTCTAATCTGTATCTTCTATAGTAAGGGACGGAACAGGAAACCGTATGTGTACCATTACAGAGCTTTAGTGGAGATGGGCTGGCCATCCTCTGATTAGGAGCTAGCACAATCTCGCATGCCAAACATTGTCTTGTTCATTAATTTTTAATTTTTCCTAGTGATTGATTGCTTGAAGAAACTCATCGTCAAACCCCTTTATAACGCCATACCTATCATTATACTGCCACCATTAATAGATGGTGGCAGTATAACGATGTTTTACTGTACATTGACTAAAAATGTCACATTAATAACCCATTCACGTCTACTTATAAATAAAACATTGATTATTCACATCCGCCCCAGGGGTTAGACACATATTGATATATGTATACAAAAGTAGACCTATTGACCGCGATATATATATCTATATATATTCTATCCCAATACACATCAGACCTTTAACAATATGTCTGGCCCCTCTGATGTATACGAGCTAAACTCAATTTGTTTCAATCGTATTATTTTATAGAAAAAAAATATGGATGTTGTCTGTATATTTTCGTTACTAAGGTGAGGCCACCAATAAATACGATGAGGTGACGACCTTGAACTTTGTTCCGATGTTAGTTACTATAGTCAAGCAAGCATTCTGGGGAAGATTTTAGAGACTGTCTTCCCAATTGTCTAAATTGAGGAAACTGAGGAAAATTCCATAAATATGTGTTTTAAAAACTCCATTCAATGATGTGATGCAGAAATTGCTTTTATTAAAAAGTATTTCGATTTGACGGTTTTTTTTATTGATAAATACGAAATATACTGCAAACCAGATATTTCCAGAGATCCACGAAACATAATCTAAGAAAAGGGACGCGTTTTTCGTTATACATGTATGTGGAGTGTATTGCCCAAACGAAATATTAGTGAATTCTCGAAATTTAATTTTGAAAGACTAGCACTTCTTAAATAATATTTATTGGCTACTCATTTCAAACAATCTGAAGAAAAGATAGTTTCGGTATATGACGTCATCGCGTTCGGTACAGCCTTAGTATAGGTTATGCAATTGCACTTTAAAAGTCCGTTACAGTGAAAAGCCAAAAAGATGTATTGAGAAAATGATTTAAAACACGCAAAGAAGAGATACAGTTAATATTTCCAAATATGTGTAACAAGGGCGATTTATTGCAAGTTGCATACGATATGATGCATTTCCCTGAAGCGGACAGTTGTGAAAACGGAGGGGGAAGGAAACCTAAATAAAGAAAAAAACAACTGAGTTAGTCTACAAAAGAATGGCTATTTGCAATCCGGATACCAATCGCTATCCCTGTGAATTAGACCAGCTATATATACAGCGCCATGTTCGTGACGGGAAGTCAAGGAAAGACAACTCAGGTTTTGGGAAAGAATCGGGGATTTCTTCTTTGTCTCATTCAAGAAAACGACATTGTTCAGCTGCCCTCATTGCAGCACTTGGGATATCTCTTGGTGGTTTTTTTTTTATCTCTCTCTCCTACGTATTCTTTTCTGGTGGTGTCTGCTATAGTCTTTGTATGACTTACGTTGTCAAGCGGTTGATAAACCCCGATAAAAATAAAATAATGTTCATCTCAGAGGATGTGGTTTCAGATAGTTATTATTGGATATTATTGTCAAGAGAGATTTGTAATCATTTCTACAATGAGCTGATGAAAGAAAGGACAAATCAGAAAAATCGTCGGATTCTTGACAGGAATGCCGACACCAAAATTATATAACTCTGAGTTTATACGTCTCTGACCAGACTCAGCTTGATGACTAAGCTAATTTTTCTATGGTCGGGTGGCGCAGTGGATTTCGCACTCGCCTTTCACCAAGGCGGCCGGGGTTCGATTCCTCGACCGGACGTGAAAAGATATGGGTTCACCTACCCCGTCGCATCGGTTTTCGCGTGGTACTCCGGTTTCCTCCCACATTAAGACCCCTAGCGCGCTAACATCCGGGCCAATAAGAGTGATAAACATAAACTGTAATAAATTGTTTCATAATTGTTGTAAAACAAATAAAGTTTATATCATTTTTTCTCTGATGAATTCGCTGTCTAGATAACTGGTCCTGCGTTTTAAACGTCACAGCGAAATATTGAAATATCGAGAACCATAAAAGGTGGGGCGTACTGCTGGGTGTCTTCGGCAGTATGTTTCAGTGAGGTAGCACTATAAAGTCGGCATCAGTTCCGCGCTATCACAAGGAGACAAACACGAACATATCGCAGCCTCCCAAAATACACACACATATACTACACGCATGCATCTTGCACACAGGGGAGGCCGGCCTTAAATGACCTTAGCTGTTAATAGGACGTTAAACAAAATCAAACAAACAAACAAACACACATGCACGCATACACCAAGAACATTGAGGCACGTCCTTAAACGATCTTTGATGTTAATAGGACATTAAACAAGATAAAACCAAACCAAATTGTCGAAATCATTGTAGAAATCACAGAAAAAGATAGTTTGTGGCGCAATTACAGCGCTTGGAATACTTATTATTTCCATTTCCGTCATACTTATGATGTCATGACGACTGTGATAAAAGCTTCTAAGAAACTTTTGAAAAAATGATTGGCGCATGGGTTATTTGGTTATTGTTGTGCTTGGGTTAAGTAAAAGAAGACTCAATTTAATTACGCTGCATCTGCACATGTTCTTGTATGTTTACACCAAAGTGACTCAAACATTTCTGTCCTATGAAACCATTTGTTTGGGGTTTTTTTTATCATAGAAACTGTACAGTATGACTCCAACCTTTATTTCTTTTCAAAATTTGTGGTTTGGACATGCCAAAAATCTACATGAATATCTGAGCTCTGCATTGATTTTGCATACTTACATTGTAAATGACAATACCCTGAATCAATTATACAACAAGGACAGATACATTTCTAACTTTATAATAAGGCTTTAATACAGACGTATACAATGATATACAATGTTATACAATGTTGTACAATGTTGTAAAGATCGTAAATGGCCATATTTAGGAATTAATTAGAATAAACTACACGATGCACCCCATCGACTCCCACTCACAGCCGGTGATAATAGGTAAACGTGTATGTGTCATCAGATCCTGTCAAGCGTGTTCGTGACATGTATAACATTATCACCACGTGTGGCAGTTCCAGTTTCACGCGGTCTCTAACGACGCTGATGGATTAACGCCAAACGACCATTGTAACGAGGCTTCTGATTGGCTATAATTACACCTGTCGATACGTATTTGCAGACGACAGATGTTGATGATGATCCAGAGACGAGAATGAACTAAATCTAACAGATGTTTTGTGTGGAATTCTGTTGCTTGGCCCGCGATCGATAGTTATCCTCATCTTTATACCTGATCCACGTGAGATACACCGAGTACAGGTAACGGCATGACAGCTACCCAGGTGTGTCCGATTTGTAACCTCACCTGAGATCCGTTACGTCATTGAAGTGCTCTTTTGGAACTCAGGCGCTGAAGCATCGATTTGTCAGAAACCCAGTATCAACATTTGACCGAAATGTTTGCCTAAATTAGCCAATCACATGGATTAAATAACGGGAAAACGAAAATAAAGTCACCATTGTTTCACAGGTAAGATAATTATCGGTGTCGAGACTTTAAAATTGTTGTGGCATGGACCCCCTTTATACAGCAGACGACATCAAACAAAGACGTATTGAAATGAGCACGTTAAACCTCTATGATAAGATTGTTTGAAGCCAATTGTGTATTGAATAGGTCGCACGGACCGAAACGCCATGATGATAGCTTTGGTTATTCATGACCCGATTTCAATAACAAATGAGCGATGTGTTTGTTTGTTTTGAATGCTTTGATTCCTCTGTTAAAGTGCTCATTCTTGTGTACAATATACCGTACGTGAATGAGGTTTAATGATTAAACCGTTGTATTATAAAATAAGAGTACAATTCGTTTCAGTCAGTTAGGGTTTACAGAATCTTACCTGTAAGATATAGCTAGGACTGGAGGTACTAGCATGGTATGGCATATATATAGCATACAAGCAATATAACAATACAGCCCCGCCTAAATCAATACTGTTGTGCCAGATGATGTTTTGAGCCAGGGAACACATATATACTTGTTGATTTTACCTGGCCAAAGAGTCATTTATCACCGGTTGCAGGTAAGGCATTTATTTTGTTTCTTCAGAATGGATTCATAAATATTCATAGTATTGACCCACATGTTTTGCCTGTAATGACTACTTAGTACTAAGGCAAATTGTCATATTGATTTCCAAGCTATATATATCACTACTTCATGGATGGAGTTGGAATATTTCTGGTTTTGGTATGAAAATATTTAGATGAAATCTCTCTTTAAAACACTTTAAAAGAGAATATTTTTTGAAGACAATCTACAAAATTTTCAGATATCTTTTTCAATCATTGTCATGATAAATGCAAAATATACAGTGAAGCCTTCGCCATGTTTTCAGGTTGAATTTTTAAAGCGTATTACTCTCAGCTGCAGACACAGCATATTTACCGAAAATTAGCCATATTAGTCCAAGAACTAATATTAATACCCGGCCTCCTCCCTGACGATGCGAAATATAGAAAATCTCTCCTTTATTAGTATATCATGTTTTATGAAATATTGAATATTGTTTAACCTATATGTGTAAGTTTGTTAAGATTATACAGAAATTGGTTTACACAGTACGGAGTTGGGNCAAATGGGAAAATTTAAAGGATGAGGGCTTAAAATCCTTATGCTCTCCACACCTCCCATTGATTTGACACTGAATAATTCCCTTTTCTCATCAGAGTAATAGTATAATATTTTTTGCTGACACCATGCATTTCAGTTTCATTTCCTAACATAGGAATGCATTATCTTGTTTTTTCCTTCTTTATTCTTGGTTGTCTCTCTCTCTCAGCCATCATTTTTTTACACGCAATAGCTTATGGGTAATTATAAATATGACTGCAGTATTGCCTATGTCATACACTGGAGAAACAACTCAGAGTGTTAATGAAAATATACAGAAACTTTAACCAAAAATATTTGGCTTGTGGTTTTACATACTAAATACTGGTTGGTGGAGGGTTTGATATCGAAGACTTGAAGTGCAACGTCAGAAATTTCTTCAGATGTTTAAAAAGTCTGGTAAAATGGAGCTATTCCCAATTCAAATTTGGTTCTGAATTTTCCAAATTTCAAGCTTATTTTTTCTAGTTTATCAGTTGTTGTTTATATATTTGTATTTTCAAAATCTTTTTGAAAGCATCTATACTTTATAATTGACATAATATCATTGTTAAGTAAAATTGAACCACTTTAAATGGAAGCAAATATTTATATAATATAGGTATTTATTGCTTGAACATCAGTGATAATATTCCTTATTTTAGCAAAATGTTGGCAAATTGTTCCAATTTTAGGACAGGGTTCCATTCCCAAAAAATGTTATAAAACCCCTGAACAGGTCAATAGAATGTTAAGTAGTGCCTTAGTGTTTGTTTGTTTGTTGGTTAATCATTGTGATAGATGATCTATTTAGGAGTATAGTCTATTGTTAACGTTTTAACATAAATTGTTAATCATGCATCACCCCTGTCTACCTGTGTGGTATAACCCAACACTGTTGGAGGTAGAGTCCATTTTAATGAAAATAGTGATGAAAGGTTTGATTATACTTCGATTACTTTGGGCGTGGCTAACCTAACTTGACCTGCCCAAGATCTGATTTGCTTAACATCTTGAATATGTAAACACGAAAGTTTCATAATTTTCAAAACTTTCAGACTTGTATAAAACATATCTGGGTTCAAGATCACCATTCCTGTATGCGGAGGATCAGAATATAACTCTTAAATAAGATAAGAAAAAATAATTAAATAAAAAACATATAAAGTTTTTCTTTAGATTTTGGTGTGGAGACTGACAATGCTTTCTACTATAATCGGAGCCTGATCTATAGAACAGGATGTATAGCCCCATACTTCTGTGGAATTCTTAATTATTGATCATTCTTTCATTGACAGACGTGGAGTGGACATTAACACGCTGTCTGCTTCACCATTTATATTGATACAATGCAGACAGCTATTGTGAAATTTAGGTACATGGGGTAGTCATTTTACATATATTTTTTTTTGTTATTTTATTGAATTTTTCAGTTTTAATTTTAAATTTTATGAAATTACCAAGTATTTCACTGAATAAAGTGTAAGAAAATAATTTTAAATAATTCAGATCAAAATCAATGAAAATACAGAATACAAAACCAGTCGATATGATAACTGCAGATCTGTAGGTTTGAAATGTGTATATTTGGCATATTTGTTTTTGATTGTGTGGTTGTTATAAAGAAATCTGGCATCTTAAAGTGAGGTCCCAACACACCATGCAAATGAGATTTTGACGCCCTGAAGCAATTTCACTGTTTGTTATAGGGGCATATTTGATATATTCTAAATTTCATAAAATTCAATTGACAAAATGCTTAATGGTTTCCAATAGCATGATCATTATATCATGTATATTTCCCTAATACATGTATTGAAGTAAATCTGCCAGGCATGAAATACATCCATTCAAATGGAAACTAGAAGATATTCCCTGTTTATACAAGTTATAACTTAATGCTTAGGCCAAGAGGACTCAATTTTGTTTAAATGGTGGGTGTGGCCCCCCTGGGGGCTGAGGGGCGGGGCCCAATAGGGCCTTTGTTGCTGAATCTAGTTTCATTATTTTTGATGCAGAACAAATAACGAATTATTTTACTAAGGAATATGATAGCTTCAGTTCAAGTATTGTTATTGATTACTGATTTTTCAATGCAGGGAATTTTACTCATAATCCTCTTACAAAAGGCCAGTGTTGTTATAAGAATGTAAACTGCCCGTAAACAAATCCTATAATGATGTATACTGTTTCAAATGTGAAACTCATGATGACAGGATATTTGTGTTCATGTTGGTAATGAAAACCTTTCAAACGTATCAGATGTGTTTTATACATATCATGCTTACCTGTTGTGTAGCAAACTACAACAAACCATCTACTTATTCGTGAAAAACATCAATAATTGTTGTCTCCATAAAATCTCATTACCATGGTGATGAGAAGAATGAATCTTTTTATAGTGAAAACCCAATTAAAGGTGACACGCTATAGTTTATCTTATCAAGGGAGATAATCTCGACAGTAAAACCAGGCTCCAAAGACCTGCGTCTAGTCTTACGAAATTCATTACTGAATAAACTATAATGACATTTTATTTCATGTTCGAACCCAGTGAGATATAATTTCCTGGGGATTTTGTTACGAGCCATTAAGATCATTCATGACATCATGAATATTTTTATTAGACTACCTGTGTAGTCCATACATGATTATAGGTACATAGTGTACCTACTACCATTATACTTACATAAGCGCAAGCACCACATCACCTTTAATCTGTCTCAAAGCTTTGTTAGGTTGACGAAAGTTGATGTAAAATTGTAATCTTGTATAAAGTTCCATGAATATTGATTTTTTTCATGAAAACAGATTGTGCTTTTTAAATTAAAACGAATACAGTCTTAAAATGAAAATGGCAACACTTGCATATTTATAGCAAAAACCTCCCAAACGAAACCTATGGGTAAGAAAAAATGTTTGACATCAAATTTTGTTAAGCTTTTAAGTTTATTTTGAACAGGCCTATATTGAATTTATTTTAAGTTTTTTGGTCAGATAATGTCTCCGAGTCTTTAAAGATTTGATTACATAATTAAATAACATTCAATTATAAAGGATTTAAATCTTACAATACACTTGAGTACTGCCAAATTGATTTTTCATAATAAGGTCCCATATTATTGATCATAATCTTTGTGAAATACCTTGCTAATATCACATAAACTGTGTTGATACTGAAAACAGTTTTTTTTACAAACCAATAAGATAGATTGGCGTTGATTTTTACTGCCGCCTAATAAGAGAAACATATCAAATTGAATGCACCTCATGTTAGGAGCACTTTCCTCAGATCATCACTAAAAAGTATGGCAAGTTCCAAATGATGCTCATGTACCAATATTTTGTGTACATGCATCATTAAAAAATGAAGAATATTTGAAATATTGTTTTAATAAAAGGGGTCATATATCAGTAATTTGAAAATGGTTCAGTAAATATTTGGCCTTCATAACTTGTACGTTCCATTTGCCCCATATCAAATATTCTGAATTATTAATACAGGATTGATCTCATATGATTAATAATTAATTTAAATCTATACAAATACCTGGTGTGATATCTAATGTATTAAATATCAAATACCATTAGTTAATGACTTTAATTTTAGTTCCAAGTATCAAGCACAAGGGAAAATGTGTTGACCTTGTCATGTCTGAATTTTATACTGAAAACGGAATATTTTCAGAATCTGTGCCAAGTGACAGATTGACCTAAACAAGTTGCTTGTTTACAATTTATTTATCCTATTTTTAAATATATTTTCATCAACTAAATTGTCATTCTAAAATATTGTTTAAACAAACAACCAGATCTGAGACATATGATCTTGTTAGTACTTACTACAATAACACCATAAAAGAATTATTGATAGG